CATACATGCATACATGTAAAGATGCATATATACATACAAACATAGGTACATATATGCATACAAACATGCATAGGTATGTACAGACAGGCATACATACATGCATACTCTGAGAAGAGACATTCTCCGTCTACTTTTCTTTACTCGCTTTTTCTGTGTCAACTTTGCCTTTTCTCTGCAACCCGATGCTGTCCATTGCTTGTGGACCGTCAGCTTCCAAGGCGGAGCCCTGTCGAGCTCCACGCTGGTCTGCGACTCGGCCAGTCTTGTCCACAGCGGCCTGGTCGGCGAGACCAAGCCCCGGCTCGTCCGTGCCCGGAGGGCGGTTGAAGCGAGCCGAGAGCTGGCCCAATTGTTGTGTCAGGCCGAGTCGCCGACGTCAGAGTCGTCGCGACGTCTGGACCAGTCGGTACCGAACGACGCCTCACTCGCCGACCGAGAACGTGAGCGTAAATTGGCCAAACTTCGACTGGCCCAACAGGCCTGTCTCGGCAAAAGCAGTACCGGCCAACTGACCGGCTACACACGATTGTCCCAAGTCAAGGTGTGTCTCTCGTCGTCACCACTCGGCCTAGTTTCCACTCGTACCGAAGCCTCATAAACAGACACACAGACTCTTTTGGTCGAGGCTTTACTCGCCCATCAGGTCTTTGGGTACAGGCCGAGTTGGCAACTACGAGAATGGGGCATCGGTTGAATTGTGGCATGTTCTCTTCCGTTCGAAATGATACCGTCGACTCGAACGTCTGTGTTGAGCAATCCTTTTCAAGATCTTCTTGCTTGTTCGAAACCCTTATTGCCATTGTGTCTTCTTTTGGGCTGGAGCCAAAGTAGGCCTTTCTACCGCAGTCTCTTTCAGCAGTAGACAAATAAAGCACTTTTGGACACTTATTCTATGTCGTTCAGACTAGACCTTCCAGACTACTATCGGTAAATCAGATCTGGCAGTCATGCTCGAAACTTCAGTCCATTCTGGACGAAAACTGTTTTTGGGAAAACAAGACTGTATGTCAAATTGAATGCAGGAAAACGGAACTATTAGTCCTTGATTGAAATAGGGTGGACAGAACCTTTATTCGACTCAAGCCCGACGAAGGGTTCACTTCTCACTATACTCTCACACTCAGCATCATCAGCTCAAGAGAGCGACAGTAGGTCAATAATAGCAATGTGTGTGTGTGTGTGCCAAAAAGATCTTTTCCTGCTCTGTAAGTTTTGCTTATATCATGTTGATATGACATCATTCTGTTGGATAACACTCTCGACGACGAGTAGAGAAAAAAGAACCTGGATGAGTTCGTGACAAGGTCCTTGAGTGTGTCTCAGAAGAAAGGGCTTTAGTCTTATACTATGAAATGTATTCACCCTATTTCTTTTAAGGTGATGAACTCTTATAAGCTTAAGGTCATTTGCCAGAGCAGAGAAATGCATTTGCGTTGGAATGCCTGACATTGTTTTGCATATCCGTTTTTCCCTTTCTACCACACCCAACCATGCACACATACATGCATGCATGCATGCATATACGCACACACATCACATGTTCACATGGGCTCCGGCGCCTGGTTAGGAGAAGGAAAGATACAATCATTGCCGGACATGAGACGCAGCAACAACTGGTGCCTCCGTATGGGATGAGACGATATGAAGAGAAACTGGTTTTTGGGGGATCTGTGGGCACATCAGTGTTAACTTGAAAGAGTGTGAATGCCGAAAACATTCATTTGGCTCTGTACTTGCAAATTCCTGTCGGACTGCTGTTGTTTTGGTTCTTGCAGGACCTTCACAATAATGAGTGTAAATATGACAAAAAACGATTCATCGGTAGTGCTACCTGAGAGGCAGCATCATGTCAGAGGTACTTTATGGAAACCTGTTGTCTTTTTCAATCGAATCACTGCTCATAAAACAACTCAACCAACTGTAGATATCGAGGAAGATTTAAATGTTAT